TACACAAGTAAACAAGCATGGATTTATGCACTTCTGTATTGTTATTGCACAGCTTGAAGCTGGCCAGGGATCCTACTCTGGATGACATTTGAAGTGACTCTGTTGATATAATTCTTAGGCTCCTAAAGAAAAATTATTATTATAGTTGTGGCACAGTCAGTCAGATGTTCAGGCTGGATTTGCATCTACAGAAGCTTTTCCAAGGACTTGGGATACATCGTTGTTGATTTTTGCTAGTGTTAAAGGTATTGTTGCAAAATATAAGCTGTTCCGAGTACAGCTGCCTTTTGTAATTGGCTGATGGTGATTTTGTCAATGCCAACGGAGGTATTATTATTTATTTGTATCCCACCTTTATTATTTTTACAAATAACTCAGGCAGTAAACATACTTTCCTCACATTTCCTCATATTTTCCCCACAGTAACAATCCTGCAAGATGAGTTGGGCTGAGAGAGTGTGACTGAACCAAAATCACCCACCCAGCTTTCATGGCTAAGAAGGAACTTTAACTCATGCTATCCTACTTTCTACCTTAGTAGTTCAACCACTAGACCAAATTAATCTTGGTTTACTCCTTGGTCAAATCGCCTGGCAAAAGTTTTCCAACATTACTCTTTGATAGTATTGCTGCAACAGTCTTATTTTTCGGTACAATTATAACTATCTGGACATAACATAATGATTTTGTACATTTCTGAATCTATCCCTTATTCAAGGAGCAGATACATATCAATTGATGGAGTTATTGCATGCTGGTAGAAATAGCATTCGATTTTGCAGCAGTCATATGCTTCCTTTAAGCAACGTAATCAGGAGCTGAATAGTATGCATGGATATATATAGATTACATTTCAATATAATCATAGTAATCCAAATACACTTAATTGTACAAAATCAGAACAAAACAATTATAGTTGGATAGAAATGCTATGGAAACTTCCTTTTTTCCTAAGGTAATGCCAGTTAAAATATGCTTGCAATCCTTGACTAAGGATAATTAATCTTCTATGAAAGGAGAGAACTTGTGAAACAACTTTGTCACCTAAGCTCAACTTTAGGCTGTTGAGGAACATTTTTCTCTTCCTTTACACATCTCAGTAACTGTCTCAGCTGTGTATTCCAACCATTTTCCATCAAATTCTGTGCTCTGTTACTGCTTAGAGACCTAGGTGCCAATTTGGTGGACCTGTCTGGTAACCATAGATGACTGATTCTTAAGAGAGACTATGAATCAGGAAAACTATCTTACATCTTGGGAGAAAAAAAAAATCTAAATCCTCAGAGTGAAGAAAATGGAGAGAGAAAGAGAGCGATACACACAGAGAGAAATCTGTCACTTGCAAGTAAGGAAAGGGAAGTGCTAGAGCCGTGATGGCGAACCTATGGCACATGTGCCCGAAGTGGCCCACGGAGCCATGTCACCTGGCACGTGTGGCGGTGTCTGTTCCACTTCCGACTTTCTGGCATGCATGCGTACACGACGATCAGCTGGCCTTCGTGCATGCGGCAGTGCCGGAAACTGGAAGAGCTTGTCTTCTGTTTTCTGGAGTGAGCATGCATGCCGGCCAGCTGATCAACGTGCATGCATGCGTGCCAGTAACCAGAAGACTAGCTGGCTGCCACACATGTGCATGCCAGAAACTGGAAGTTCATTTTCTGGCATGGGCATGCCCCCTGGGCAGCTTCTCTTCTGGGTTGTGGCCCTGAGCAGCGTGCAAGCATGAGTGTGACACCATCACTGTGCTAGAGAGTAGCTGAATGTACGTCTGAATTTTAGCATGAAAGGTTTTGGAGAGTAATAAGACTGGGAGAAAATATTTTCCCAATAATTCAAGGACTTTTGAGGTTGAAATTCAGATTGTCCTCACTCCACCTCCTTTTCAGTTTCAAGTAGCAATTCTGATCAGTAATTTGAGGTTGCTATGGTGTCACTTTAAATAACTCATTCTTTTCTATGGAAAATTCTTAGCATTGTCTTGAAATAAAAAACCAGGCCCACCTATAAAAGGTTATTATTTCAAAGAAATCCAGGCAATTTAGCTGCCTCTTCCAATGTGGGATTCGAAGCAATAATGTATGTGGGAGAGGGATGGTTCTGAAGAAGGATACATAATGATTCCCCAAATCAGACAATTTTACAGAATGCAGTTTATACAAACTTAAAGTAATTAAAATCACTTTTGCTCAGCTGCACATAAATGGAAGAATTACTTACTCTGCTAAGGTGGCGGAGGCTCACTGTAGGGCAATAATTGTTTTTCCAATCGTTAAAAATTTCATATAATAACATGTTTTAAAAGGACAATACATTAAAGAATTTCAACATATTAGCATATAATTCATTCTGTGGAATGCAAAAGACTGAAAATATAAGTTTTTTCCCCTCCTACTTTTTGTGTTAATAGATATTTGGCAGTTTGTTTGGTGATCCAATTATCTTTACATAAAGTTCCTATCTATTCTGAGAGTCCCTGGTTGCTGCCTTGTCAAATTTAGCTTTTACATTTTAGAGTTGTAAAAAAATCACGTAACCCACAAATATGAAAGGATAGGGAGAATTTATAATCTACTAAATATTTTTTTTCTTAAAAATCTGGGAATGAAAAAGAATCTTCATATCTTCTTAATGCAGACAATTATTACAGTTTTTAAAAGTATATCCATTACTATAAGAATTAAGCAGACATGTTAAGAGAAAACAAAAATAGCACTTGTTTGATTGGAGCAACACAAAAATCATCAACCACGCTACCACCCGTCACACTCGTGCGTTCATCGAAACCTGGCAGTCCACAAGCAATTCAATCAACAGACACATTGACTTTCAACCAGTCTACAAATCCCTCAGAATGCAAATCAACCATACAGCCAACCAGAGATAGCACTGACCCTCAATCAACCCCCAACCAGCAGTTCACTTCCCAATGATCCTGACCTGATGTAACCTCCCCATCGCAAGACCCATTACAAGATCCTCACTTGACACACCCACACCTGAAGCCCTTATAAACCGAAGAACACTGACACTGACATCCCCTAAACTCCCCTGAAGATGTTACCTAGACTGGTAATGAAATGTTCGGAAGCCAACCCACAAGCTCGGAAAACAAACCTTCACCCTCAAAGCAAAAACAGCAAGGAGCATGAAAGCACTTATGTAGTGAAATGTGCTTTGCCTTGATAAGCAAGAGAATATAATTTATAGTTTTAATAAATAAATAAAGCTTATTTATTCATAGGCTTATAGCTGCTCAGAGCTGGTGGCCTGGAGTGGCCTCTAAACCCTGTAAAAGTAGACACATACATAATACAGACTAATTGGAATAAACATTCTTAATTTTAGAATTCTTTTCTATGCTGAGATAATCTTCTGGTTACCCGGTAGTCATTTGTAGTTTTAAATTATTTTTGAGTCATGCTCGATTTTAGGAGAATTCAGCAGCACCATTAGAATTAAATGTTAATTTCATCTACAAAACTTGATCTGTAGGTTAACTGTGTCCAATATTTCAAACCTCATCAAGCTGAAAACAGGCATTTCAATCACACTATAGAGTCTCCTTGACTTTTAATACAATTATAGCAATCAAGCTGTGATGCTGACAAAATTGGTTGCATTTGTTAGACACAACGGAAGATGGGTTTGGATAAAACGGAAGGTTGAGTGTGTACACAAAGAAAAATTAGAATGCTGTTTTCAAAGAGGGAAAACGAGAGGGAGATATGCGGACACATGCTATCAATTAATGTGTCTTTCTGAAAATTTAACAAATATTTATTCTTTGAATAACTCTCAAATTTCTTGTAGCTGATTTGCTCAAACAGATCATATGAATTTTGGTTTTAATTCCGAACAAGAAAAGTAACCAAAATGCAGTAAGTGAAAATGAAAATCTTAATAGGGATATGTACTAGATGCCTGTTACATCCATTTTTCTGGCTTAAGAAAATAATCCCAAATAGCTACGAGACAGTGTTATACCAAAATCAACTAAGTTAGTTGATTAAGGGTGACTAATTAAAGGTGGTTACCACCAAGTAAAAGAGAGTTGTTGTAATCCTGTCCATCTGTCCATCCACTCAGACATCTTTTTAGTTTAGTTGAGTTTATTTATAGGCCGCCCTTTTCCCTGAGGGGACTCAGGGCGGCTAACAACTTGTAT